TTTTATTATTCTGATGACTAATCAGTCATTATTATTCATGTTCTTGCGTATTTCTTTCTTTCATTTCACAATTCACTTTATTTTATTTGTTATTATTCTTTTTGGTGTTATACAATACGTTCCGATGGTGTTCCGGGTGTTCGGGCAGTGTTCCGTGTTTTACAGACTCCCTTCTTACTAAAGAAGTGTAATATCTTCACCGGAAATGAAAAAATAGCTTTTCATCAGTCATTGTTTTGAATTGCTTCAGGGAAAAGTTTATCATGTCAACAATGCAAGCACAAACACACGATTGATGAGTGTATAGAAGGTSACCAGAAAACGCTCAAATGTAAAAATGGCGATAATGCTTGTTTTTATGAGGAATCGCAGCCATTTTACAGGTATTTATTATGCTGATAGTCAACTATGACATCATCGCTGAAACTGCGCACGCGCTATTTTTCGCCAATCAAATGTATCATTGGGCAGCAATAAATTGGTTTTGACACAGGGAGCCCAAGCAGTGACTTTGAACCTATAATGGTTAAAAATAAAATTTTACTTAAAAAAATGGTCTACTTTTATTTTATTCAGTGTCACAATGCATTATAGATGGGTTTAAAAAAATTTCCCCTCCATGTATATATATAGTGAGAAGGGAGGAGACTCCGCTCGAAATTCTCCCAAAAATGAGCCAAAAACGATCGACAAAAATCCTTTTTTCGCACCGAAATTAAATAAAAACGAAGTTTTATCTGAGACAGCATATGTAAATCAACGTTTTTTACCTTATTTTGGACGAGAGGCATCGATAGAAACGCTTTTCGGGCAAAAAAATCCAAAAANACAGACAACTGGAGCACTGACATCGTTTTTCACTTGTTTACTCATTTATCAATCCCAAAATGCACTGCGTCACAAGGCTTTCCGCGGGTTGCGATATGGACTATGACGTGGGGAAAACATTATCGTAAACTTCTCTATTTTCTTATGTTTGTGCTTATGTTAAAAAATGACGATCGTGAATTGGTGTAAGATGAACCAACTTCTGAGTATTCTGCTTCGGTGTATGTCATAACTCGAATGCACCCTATAGACCTTTTCTGAGATACGAAATCATTCTTGGGTTGCAACCCCCGAACTGAAAATTTATCATTCGTTATTATTCGTTATTTTCAAAAACCAAGTAGCAAGTCATAAAGMGCATAGTCAAATTATCTAGAATACGAGCTTTTAGTCCTGTAGCTTACTTTTCGATGAATATATAAGCGAATAAAAATTTGAAAAATTTGGTTAATATGTATGGGACGCCATCTTGGATGATAACTTTGATCATCCAAGATGGCGTCTGATTTCAAATTAACTTTAAAAAGTGGTTTCCTTTGTAAATTTTGGTCAATTATGACTTTATTTCAAAGAAAAATCACCTTAAGTAAGTTCTTACGGAGTTGAAAGAATGATTTATCTAATCTCGAAGTTTTTATTTACGATCTACGGTAGAATAAATTAAACTCCGCACAAACTAAAACTTTTGTGTTTCGCCATCAAAGCCTTGAATTCGAAAATTTGCATACACACTATTTAGACGTATATTTAAGATATACTGTAAGAAGAGCTCTTTAGAAAAAATATCTTGGATTTTTCGATATTTTTTGCTTGAGTATGACGTCACATGCAACCCACCA